ATTAGTTAGGTGTGGTGGTGGGCGCCTGTAATCCTAGCTACTCAGGAGACTGAGGCATGAGAATCACTTGAACCCGGGAGGTGAAGGTTGCAGTGAGTGGAGATTGTGCCATTGTACTCTAGCCTGGGTAACAAGAGCAAGCCTCCCTCTGAATATTGAAAAAAAGCTTGTATGTATATGAGTGTGAACAAAAATAAAATGGCTACCATGATATACAACAGAATGTTAACAGTCACTCTTCTTGGGTGGTGTGATTTTTTAAATTGTATCTTTTCTTTTACAGAATTGTAACTAGCAAGTATTATTTTATTATGAGGGGAAAAAAGGCTATTATAAAACACAATCGTGCTCACCTCTTTTCCCTGACTAATCAGACGTTGGTAGATTGTCCAGCTCTCTTATTATTACCTGGAATCAGAGCCTGCACAGGTGGATTGTTTTTGCCTGTAAAACGTATAATCAGCTTAGAGGAAATTTCTGAAATTATTGTGTCACTTTCCTGTAATGCTTGTGGGTTGGCTAGTAATTGCGAAAGCAATGCCGTCAGGTCTGAAGTTCTTCTGACACAGATCCTAAATTGCGGTTCGAGGTAAGATGACATTTTAAAGTGAAGCCACAGATGGCTTAAAGGGGCATGCTGATATCATGTAGTGCTTTCCTCTCCAAAAGCGAACATTCTCTGCTTGCAGCCTCAGTTTCTTCATTCACAAAACGGAGATCATATTCCGCCTGAGGGTTGTCAGGATAAAGTATGTGGAGACAATTTGAAACCCTCAAAGTGCTTTTTGATTAGTAGATGTTTATTTGCAGGTAATTACCCAGTATATTTACCCAAGTGATCTGAGACTAGGACTTCTTTTTGGTATGAAGCATTGTAAAACTTGAGATGCTGTCTCCCAGAGGGTGAGACAGGGCTTTCAATACAGGTAATAGATGATAGAATTTACTATAGCTGGCCTTGCTTTTACTTGCTGTATATCCAAAACTGGCTCTGTTTTATCCAAAATCTTATATGCCTTTCTTGTAAATTTCCTTGGGCAATCGTAGATTACCCTGAAACTTTTAGGACATGACCAAAGTCCATCTATCTTTTTGGGTTTCTTTTGCTAGATTCATCTAGAATCAAGAAGGGGCGCAAGCAAGACCTCACAAGAATCAGTTTAATCAGCACTATGGAGTTTGCCGAAACAATGGTCATTTTAAACTGGATTTTAAAACTAAACCCATTAGCCCATTTTATAGTATTGACCATTCCCTCATTCTTGAAGTTCTCCCTCCTTAGTTTTCCTGACTGCAGGCTCCTGATTGGCTCCTTGGATTTTTCTACTGCCACTATGTGAGAGGCAATACAACATAGTATTAAGTTCTATCAGTCACAGATTTAAATCCTGGATCTGCTGTTCACTGAGACCTTGGACCAGTGAGAGAATCCCGATCAGCCTCAGTTCCTCATCTGTAATGCAAAGATATAATAATGATACCTACCCTGTAGGTAGGCCATGGGATGGTTGTGAGAATTTTAAGAGATGGTTCATGTTAGGGTTTGGCCTATCATAAGCACTGAATAAATATTAGCTCTCTCATGCCCTCCTGTACCTCCTACACTGCATTTTCCCTTCCTTCTGTGTGGGGTGCTCTCCAGAATTACATGCTTAGAGAGCTTCTCCTGGAGTGAGGTCCATAGCCTCCACTACCACCTAAACATAGATGGCTCCCTTCCTATCTTCAGCCTTTATCTCTCTTCTGTACATATTTCTTACCAGCTTCTGAACATCTGCACCCGGCTGTCCAACATGCTAGCATCTCATACTCAACATGTCAAAAACTGAAGTTTCCCCTAAGACCCATTTTTTCCCATGTCCCCCTTTCCTTTTCAATGTCACCATCATCCACCGAATTATCCAAATGAGAAATACTGAAGTCAACTCCTCCTCACTCATTTCTCCCTTCTGATTGGTTTTGATTACAGAAACTTGGCAGCATCTGCCCAGAATTTTCTTTCTGTGCCATAAGGGTAAACGTGAGAGCCACCATAATACAGCAATGGGACTCTGTATCTCATTTGAATGAATTGATACAGAAATAGACACCTGATGCCAGCTGGATTTTGGACTTGGGACCATAGGGAACTTAATTCCATTTGATTTAATAGTGGAAGCTGTAAGGTACAAGTGTGGGGCCAATCATGGCCATGTTTCCCACCCGATGGAGAAAACTAGTCTCCAGTGAGGTAAAATGACTCCCACAGCAAGAGAGAAGACAGAGGAGAGAGAGGATCTAGACACATTGAAGTGCTAGTTGTTCTTGAGACCCATGTGTCTCTTTCTTCCTCCTGAAACTTGACTGTTCAACAACAAAATAAGTTCAGAATTATTAAAGCTTAGAGTGTGAGCGTTGGAAGGCTATAGCTGAGACTCAAGAGGTGAGATGTAGATGACCTATATAATGCAGAATCCACAACGATATTAAAGAGTTTGGACTTTTATCTTGACAGCAATTGTGAAGAAATTCAAAGATTTTAAATGATCTTTGAAAAGTAATTGAAAAGATTACATTGGGTGTGTTGTGGAAAGGGGATAAGGAGTGGTGGTTTGGAGGGTAAAACTCATGGCAAGAAGATCAGTTAGGAGGTTGCAATAATGCAGGGGAGAAATGAGAGCAGTCAGGACTAGGGAAATGGCATATGTTGAAGCAAAACAAAACAACCAATAATAATAGACCAGTGAAATCAACAAGTCAAATACCAAGTACCCATAAACAACAAGAAAGATACAAACGTGTTCAAGCCCATCCACTGGATAGGACTGTCTTCATCCATTGAGGCCACTATAACAAAACATCCTATGATGTTTTGTTTGTAAGACTGGATGGCTCATAAACCACTGAAATGTATTTCTCACAGCTTTAGACACTGGGAAGCTCAAGATCAGGGTGCCAGCATAGTCGGGTTCTGGTAAGGGCCCTCTTTTGAGTTGTAACAGCTGACTTCTCACTGGATCCTCATATGGCAGAAGGAACAAAAGAGCTCCCTTTGACATCTTTTATAAGGGCACTAAGTCCATTCGTGAAGGAGGAGCCATCATGATATATTCACTTCCCAAAGGCCACATCTCTTAATACCATTACCTTGGTGGTTAGGATTTCAACGTGTAAATTTGGGGGAGGAGGATGGCGGGAAAACAAACATGCAGACCATAGCCTGGATCTTCTTGGAAACTGGAACAAAATAATGGAACCTGCTTTGTCATGTCCCCAAGGGCACTGCTGTTGGAGTTGCGACTGCCTGTTTCGTAAGATGGCCTTGAACTCAGGACAGTTGCTGTAAACCTTCCTAGTGTCGTTCTTCTTGTTCCTACCTTGTGTGGGTTGCTGGATCCCCAAGTAGTGTCCCAGGGCAAATGCACATGAAGGTGTGGGTGAGGATCATGGGAAGAGAAAGGACATTTAATACATACTAGTGATTATCCTCATAATTTCTAAGAGTAATCAATCAGTCATAGTGTTATAACAAATTAAAAGAACAATTAAGGGCCAGGCATGGTCGCTCACGCCTGTAATCCTAGCGCCTGCCTAGCAATCCACCTAGGCAGGTAGACTGCCTGAGCTCAGGAGTTTGAGACCAGCCTGGGCAACATGGTGAAACCCTGTCTCTACTAAACTACAAAACATTAGTCGGGCATGGTGGTGTGCACCTGTAGTCCCAGCTAGTCAGGAGGCTGACGCATGAGAATCACTTGAACCCGGGAGGCAGAGGCTGCAGTGAGCCAAGACTGCACCACCACACTCTAGCCAGGGCAGCAGAGCAAGACTCTATCTCAAAAAACAAACAAAAGAGCAATTAGGAAAGTGTATATTTTGTAGAGAAAACATCACATATTAACATAACTTAACTAATGGAGAGATAACACTTGAACTTCTATAAATGGAGCTTTCAAAGGAAAATGTGAAAGGAAGGCAGTTGGGAAGGTACATAGGATCTGAGACCTTGTGTGTACCTGTAGCTTTAAGAAAATATGGAGGAAAGGAAACCTTGGACTGTAATGAGGGGGCTACAAAGCCTCATCATCTCAGGCAAGGTTCCTGCAACTTCGCCCAGAACAAACATACCCAAGCCTTGTCAGATTGATCAAATAGTTGAGAAGACAATAAGAACGCAGAGGGACCACAGCAAATTTCTTCAACTTTATTCAAAAGAGCCTTGACAATAGAACTTGAAGAACATTCCATTGAAACTACCATAGTGATGGCCTTCTATCTGACTTTAACCAGAGCTGGTTGCTCTCAGTAGTGTGTGTGGGGGGAGTGGGGTGGGGTGTGGGTGATTACTTACTTTTATGATTAATCATCTTATGAAAATCAGAACCATGACCTTTGCCCTAAACCATCCCCTCTAAGGAGTCGAGTCAGAATACCAGCAGAGTACTATATCCTTTTTAACTTAACAATGAGAATGCTTTTACTTAAGTTACAGTAAAACCTCATTATTATAGAAACAGATTGTCACCTTCCTACTAGTAGAAGTTATAGTAAAGTGCACAGGAAGAAATAAATAAAACAAGGAAATAATTTCTTATTTCTCATTTCCAAGAGTAGCCTTTCGCAATTGTTGAGGCAGTCTGGCCTGTGACTTTATTTCTTCATCAGGGTTGAGAAATATAAAGAGGAACCATACCTATCAGTGAAATCCCAGATTTTCTTTTTTTTTTTTTTGAGACAGAGTTCCGCTCTTGTTACCCAGGCTGGAGTGCAATGGCGCGATCTCGGCTCACCGCAACCTCCGCCTCCTGGATTCAGGCAATTCTCCTGCCTCAGCCTCCTGAGCAGCTGGGATTACAGGCACGCGCCACCATGCCCAGCTAATTTTTTGTAGTTTTAGTAGAGACGGGGTTTCACCATGTTGACCAGGATGGCCTCGATCTCTTGACCTCGTGATCCACCCGCCTCGGCCTCCCAAAGTGCTGGGATTATAGGCGTGAGCCACCGCGCCCGGCCTGAAATCCCAGATTTTCTAAGGGTCTGTGTTGGTTTTTTTCCCCAGGACTTGAAACAGCCATGGTGATTGATACATTTTTGTTGAATTATTGTAAACATATATATATATATATTATTCACTTATATTTAGCCAATTCCAGGCCCACAGGAACCACACCGACACTTATGCCAAATGTATTTTTCTTTAGTCATTTGCTAAAATATTTGTTAACCAAATGGGTAGCTAAACCTTAACCCAAATGACAAGCTCAGTCATCACTCTTCTACATACCGTTCAATGACTTGTTCCTCTGGTGTGACAGCACTCTTTCTTCCTTATATTATTTGAGAAGCAGCATAGTATGCCAGTTAGGCTCTGGAAATCTTAGGCTCATATAGAAGAATTGTTTTGAATAGCTTGATGAATTAAAACTTTCCCACTATGTCAATCCAGTGATCTCACGTTAGTAACGTGGCACACAATATGTAAACAAATAAATACATGTTGAATGTCAAAAGTATGAGTAAATGATTTAATTGTTGATTAAAATGGTGATGGACTGTTGCATTGACTGAGTGCTGGTGAGTCCACGCTTTGCTTTGGTAGGTTGTGATGGCTGTGATGAGATATGACAGTTCTTTTCTATCAGCTAAGTGCTCTGGGAAAGTGACAAACACATTACTAAGCACAGCAAACGCCAAGTGGTCAGGATCAGGAGCTCGGGGTGTTTTGCTCTTCTTTACCGATAGATTAGGAATCCAGTTAATGAAATACTCCTACCATTTATATCCCCCATGCATATCTCAAGTCTATATCTATTTTCCCAAGCTTCAACCATCCTCTACAATCATCCTACAATAGTCCCCTCAGGGGATATGCCTACTTCCGCTCTTGCTACCTCCAATCTGTTCTAAATAGGTGTCTATTATGCTGTATCAGCCTAGTGTTTCCTTCAGGGCACTGTCACAAATTTGATTGTCTACATAGGTAGGCATTTTCTGTTTGTCTCACTAGACTGTGAGCCCCAGCAGGACAGGGATCTTTCTTAGTCACCATTGTAGCTCATCTCCACTCTCACCTATTGCCTAATTCATAGAAAGCTATTCACAAGTAGTCAATAAATAAATGTGCATAAATTCCCAAAGGCACAGTGACCTGATCTTAATTCACTTTTGTGTCGCTGGTACCAAGGACAATGCCTAATGCAATGCAGGCACTCTATACAGGTGTATCCCATGTTGGGTTCAGTTGACGAGGGGATGACTCGCCTCTCCAGGTTTTACAGAAAGCTGCATTTGAATCTTCTCCATTCCGCCATTTACCAGCTGTGTGACTTTAAGCCCTGATGTCCTTAGCTGCAAAATCGAAGCAAATGCTTATTTTGTAGGGTTTTTGATAAAATACCTGTGAGGGCTCTGCAGAGTGTCTGACATAGTGTGTGTTCGTCGTGGTCCACCTAGCACTGGGGCAAGGTTCAAGGAAGAAATCTACAAGGAAAGAAGAAAGTGACTCTTCAGAAGAGGGAAAAACCCAAACAGGTTTTGAGTACAAAAAGTCACAAAAAACTCCCCTAAGTGGCCCTTGTTTTAATCAAATCTCTGTATTAAAATGCTGAAGAAAGGGGCATCGCATGGGGAAGAAGGGAGGGTCAACTCTGTTGCCCTGTTCCAAGACCTCTCGAGCAATGACTTGACAGCTACTCATCATTTTGAGTTTTTCAACTATGTGGTAATTAATATTTATAAATAAAGTGCAGTAGTTGCTCCCAATGACTAGGCACCATTTAGAATCTGTCCATCCATTTATCCATTTAGCACATCATAATTGAAACTCTTCAGTGTCTTGTATTGTTCTTGGGGTACAAACCTGGACCCTAAACACAGTCTGCAAGGGTCTGGCCCTTGCCCCTCATTTTTGCTTGATGTTACCCCAATCTCACCCTTGTTCCCCAAGCTCCCACTGTTTAAGCTCTTCTTTAAGTTCAGCCACAGGACCTTTGCACATGTGCTTCCCTTTGCCTGGATGACTCCTGGGTTAACTGAATTCCGCCACAGCTCAAGTAACGGCACTTCTTCAAACACTTCCCTGACCATGCAGCAGCCTTAGCTCTCAAGTCTTCTAGTCATCCACAGTAGAGTCTTACTTGTAATTACACACCAAATTGTTTAGTCGTTTTGCTTATGTTTTCTCCCTGTACTCTGAGAACAAGACAATGAATAGCTTGGTTATCCGATGGTGCCCCGCATGTGGCAAGTGCTCAATAAATGTGGGTTGAATGAATGAATGGATGAAAGGTTCCCAAAGCTCCTGAAGGGATCTGACAACCCAAGAGTGAGGAAGCCAGGTTCCTTCCCAGTCCTCGGGGAAATCAGGGGTGGCGGGGGACACAGATCAATAAGCTAAGAAACAAGTCTCTCCAGTTGGTGCGCGATTCCTCAAACCAACCCTCCCCCAGCCACGGAGGGTTCAGAGGAAGGGGTGGGTTTAAGGGCGGATGCTGAAGACAAGTGCTGGGTGATCGATCAGCTGAACAATGGTCAGATCCTGGTGGAGATCCCAGATCCTCAGCCAGGCGGCCGGAGCCCGCGCTGCCCGGCTCGGGCCGGCAGCCAGCTGACTCCTCTCGCCATCCCTTCTGTCCCACGCGGCGCTCTTTCACCAGCGCCCAGAAGCGCCAGCCAATGCGCCCGGGCCGCGGCAGCTGCTCCCGTGCCAGGGCGCTCTGGGCCAGCTCTGGCGCCGGGCGCTCGTGATTGGCGGCCCCCAGCCCCAGCCCGGCGCGCCCTCCCACCCGGGGCGAAGTCCAGACCCCGCCCGCTGCCTGGGCTCTGCCCCCTCCTCTCCGCCCCGCCGGTGCGCGGGGCCCGGATCCTGCCGAGCACTTTCCGCAGGCGCCGCAGAGCAACTGGGTGCAGGCGGCCGTGGTTGGCGCGGTCCTCGCCCGGCCGGGCCATGAAGGTCGAGTTTGCGCCGCTCAACATCCCGCTGGCGCGGCGGCTGCAGACGGCGGCGGTGCTGCAATGGGTCCTGTCCTTCCTGCTGCTGGGTAAGGACCCCGCGTCCCGGGCCGCGACGCCTGGGCTCCGTCTCCTCCCTCGGGACGGTCGCGATTCCAGGACCTGCATAGAACCTTCCAACCCTCGTTCCCCTGTCGGCTAGAGAGGGCAGGTCAAAGAGGGCATTTGGAACTAACGTGGGCTCCGGTTTCTTTCCTCAGGAGAACCTCATCGCGAACGACTGTTTAACCCACTTTATTTTCACCTGTGCTATTTTTTTTTTTTAATTGAAGTGCACCTTGTCTACAATAAAAGGTGCAGTTGTACGGATACAGCTCGATGACTTTGGCAACTGTATCCACCGAAATGTAACCATGACCCCACCAAGCGCTTGAGCTCTTGAGTCCTCAAAAGTTGGCAAACTTGTTTCTGGAACTGTTGATTCATAGATGGAAAAGTAATGTCTCCGTAGTTAAAACCTGATTCCTTCCTCATGACGGAAAGCAGTGTTCGCTTTTCCGTTTTGTAGATGTCCTCGATGCAGAGAAGTACCTTTCTGTAAAGAAGGCTGCACCGCTCATTGCGTTTCGTTGAGCGGTTTCTCTCTGGAAATAATTTGACCCAGGAGCGTGTGTGTTTCGGTTGGTTCCCAAGTTGAGCCCATGTAACATACAAGAGCCGAATCATTAGATGGGGCAAAGGTGTTTACCTTGGTGGTTTGGGTTTTTTCCTTCATATTTGTTCTCCTCTTGAAGTAAATCGAGGTGATGTGGGAGAGAGGAATTTGGGGGAGACCCTTCTTTGGAAACATAAACTCTTCTGAAAACTAAGATAATGTATATGATGTAAGATCATGTATTGTACAGCGTTGGGTGGTAATAATAGTAATAAACCAGTTGCCTGGCAGAGTTTTACACTTTATTTATTTATTTATTTATTTTTATTTATTTTTTTGACAAAACTCATGACTACTTTTGTGCTAGAGTTTTACACTTTTAAAACTGCTTTCACATTTTAGAAGTCTGGATCAGTGGTTCTCAACCCTAGCTCTACGTGAGAATCGCCAGAGAAGCTTCTAAAAAATGCAGATGCCCAGGCTGCATCCCTAGAATAAGTCATTTGTTTCAGAATAAAGCCTGTGCACCTTCCCCCCCCCCCACCTGCCCTTTTTCCTTTTTAAGAATTCTCTGACCAGACGCAGTGGCTCACACCTGTAATCCCAGTATTTTTCGAGGCCGAGGCAGGCAGATCATGAGTTCAGGAGTTTGAGACCAGCCTGACCAACATGGTGAAATCCTGTCCCTACTAAAAATACAAAAATTAGCCAGTGTGGTGGCGCACGCCTGTAATCTCAGCTACTCAGGAGGCTGAGGCAGGAGAGTCGCTTGAACCCAGGAGGTGGAGGTTGCAGTGAGCAGAGATCGTGCCACTGCACTCCACCCTGGGGCAATAGAGTGCGACTCCATCTTAAAAAAAAAACCCCAAAAAACAAACAAACAAAAAACCTCTCCAAGTGACTCTCCTGTGGTGCTAGGTAGAGTTTACCAAAAAAAATGTAAGTCGAAATGTTAACTCATTAAGTCCTCACAGGCCACACTGAGGCAAGGTTGATAACATTACACCCCTTTTTGATCTGGATCAAAGCACCATGGAGATAACAACATACAACCTTATCCAGCGCCTGGTATGTGCTAGGTGCTGTTCTAAGCAACATCCACGATCAACTACGCAATCTTTACAGCACCCCTGTGAGGTAAAGACTATCCTGCACTCATGGTACAGATGAGGGAACTAAGAGGTGAAGTAAATTGCACAAGGTGATGCAGCTAGCAGTACGTGATAGAGCTAGTTGCAAACCCAAGTATTCTGCTCCCAAGTCTCTGCTTTAACCACTAGACTGCTCTCTTTAATGGCCTGAACGTGGAGCCCGACTTCCTAACTGATCATCCAACACATCTCTGATAGCCACTGTCGTTTTCTTTCATGGACCTTATCATTGCTTGTATCTGTGTATAACTGCGTTGATTTGACAGAGTTCTATATGGCTGCCCTCATCTACACGCTCAGTGAGGGAACATCCAGTATGTGTCTGGCCTGTGGAAGATATACACAAATACTTGAGATATATACAAATACTTGTTGAATGGCTCTTTCCGGTCTGTGATCCAGAAGAGAAGATATTCATCCCCCAGCTGCCTGGAGTATTAACTCGTGGAATCCTCACAGCAACTGGGTGAGGGAGGGACCACCCCTTACCCTCATTTTACCAAGGAAGGAAAAGGTGGTAAAAGTAAATTGCTCAGGGTCATATGGCTCAGCAGTGGCATGTGAGTAGATTGGTGACAAGGACATAGCAGGTGCTCAATGACCTGTGTCTAATTTAAATCAAACTACAGTGGCTCTAGATCCAATTCACTTCAATATTTTTGTTTCACACATTTGACGTTTGTGTTAGCTGGAGCATATGATTATGTATTATCATATATCTTGGAAATTATTTTGTGGGAAGTTTCAAACATATGGAAAGTAGAGAGAAGAGTATGAATTCCCATATACCCAGTACCTAGGTTTATAATTATTTAATAATTTGCCATATCTATTTTATCCATTATTTTGCAAAAATAGTTTAAAACAAATCAAATTTTTTTGTATAGGTTTTTTTTTTATTTTTAATTTTTAGGTTCAGGGGTACATGTGCAGGTTTGCTATATAGGTAAATTGTGCATCATGGGGATTATACAGATTATTTCATCACGTAAATAATTGGCATAGTTCCCAATAGGTAACTTTTCCTCACCCTCCTCCACCCTCCACCCTCAAAGGAGGCCACAGTGTCTGTTGTTTCCTTTGTGTCTGTGTGAACTCACACATTATGATATTTTAATCCTAAATAGTTTGCATATTTTAAAAATAAGTATTTTGTGTGTAACCATAGTACCCTTGTCATACCTACCATAGTTTACAAACATTGCTTAAAATCATCTAAACCAAGTTCAAGTGTCCTAAATTCTAAATCATCTAAACCAAGTTCAAGTCTCCTAAATTCTGCCAAAACTATGCTTTTTTTTTTTCCTTTTCCTTTTTTTCTTTTTGGTAGAGATGGGGTCTCCGTATATTGCCCTGGCTGGTCTTGAACTCCCAGGATCAAGTGATCCTCCTGCCTCAGCCTCCCAGGGTGTTGGTATTCCAGGAGTGAGCCACTGCGTCCAGACAAAAAACACTTTTACTGGCAATTTGTTGGAACCCAGATCCAAATAAAAGCCTCATGTTCTATTCGGCGTTTATTTCTTTCGTGTTTATGTCTTTTGTGTAGAACAGTGCCTCCCATTTGTTTTCTTGTCTATGAAGCCTTGAAGAAGGCATGACATGGGTCCTGCAGAATGTCTCACTTTGTGAGTTTGCTTCTTTGTAGAGTTACCTTGTTCCTCTATCCCCTGTATTTCTTTTGAAAAGATAGAAGTTAGAGTTAAATGCTTGATTAGATTTAGATGAAACCTCTTGGGCAAGACTTCTTTCTAGGGGTTGCTGTGCACTTCACATCACATCACATCAGGACGCACACAGTGTCTGCTTGTCCCAAAAAGAAAGTAATATGAGATAAAATGACTGCCATGCTGCAGACGTTCCTCATTGACAATTGACCTTTCATCTAGTGATTTCAGTCATGATCCTTGCCCCAGTTGTTTTATTTGAACCTGCAAAATGGTAATTTTCTTGTTCTATCATTTAATCTTCATTTATTAGCTAGAATTTTCACAGTTAAAAATTTTGTCTTATCATGTAGCATCATTTGACTACCCTATAATTCAATTCTTACAGGAAAGAAAGGATAAATGCTACCTTTTTTCCATTTAATTATCAAGTTTCAAGTAAGGAGTTGATATAAGTTACTCCCAGTGGTGACGAGAGATGTTTTATTAACGATTAATGAGAAATGTTTTTATTTAAGATCTCTAAATCAGCATCCCAGAATGCATTTTTCTTGCCACCACCAGGAAGGTGAGTTTAAGCTATTAGTACTTGAAATATATTTTAAAATAATAAAATGTTTCATTTAGTAATAAAATCAAACAGTTTCTCTGAGATACATGTTAAGTACCAGTCGCCCAACCTTAATATTAAAAAAACTGAAATATTTCTTACTAGCTTGTACTAAGCTACCAATTGAAAAGTAGAAAAAGAAATAGACATTTTTTGGCTATCTTCTACCTACAATCCCATGGAAAGGATTGTTATATTTATTTTTTTAGATGAGAAAACTGAAGCTTAAGAATTTTTTTGCCCAAGGTTATATGTGATAACTGGTGGAACCACGATCTTTTACTGAATGGGTTTATTTGCTTATATGTTTGTTTGTTTTTGAGATGGTGTCTTGTTCTATTGCCCAGGCTGGAGTGCAGTGGCATGATCTTGGCTCACTGCAACCTCTACCTCCCAGGTTTAAGTGATTCTCCTGCCTCAGCCTCCTGAATAGCTGGGACTACAGGCGGGTGCCACCACGCCCAGCTAATTTTTTGTATTCTTTAGTAAAAACAGGGTTTCACTGTGTTAGCCAGGTTGGTCTCGATCTCCTGACCTCGTGATCTGCTCACTTCGGCCTCCCAAAGTGTTAGGATTACAGGCATGAGCCACTGTGCCTGGCTATTCACTTATTTATTTAAGCAGCCTTGTTAAGGTATAATTGACATGCAATAAACTGCACATATTTAAAGTTTACAATTTGGTAAGAAACCATCACCACAATTAAGATAGTGAGCATAGCCGTCATACTCAAAGATTTCTCATACTCCTTCTCTGCCCCACCTCACCCCTTTTCCCAAGCAACCACTGATAGGCTTTCTTTTCTTTTCTTTTCCTTCCTTCCTTCCTTCCTTCCTTCCTTCCTTCCTTCCTTCCTTCCTTCCTTCCTTCCCTCCCTCCCTCCCTCCCTTCCCTCCCTCCATTCCTTCCTTCCTTTATTCTCCCTATGTTGACTAGGCTGGTCTTGAACCCCTGGGCTCAAGGAATCCTCCCACCTTGGCCTCTCAAAGTGCTGGGATTACAGGTGTGA